AATTTCAATCCTTGAAAAAAGAAGAAAAATGAACTTACCGCACAAATATCTGCAAACTAGTTGTGCGCTGTTCAAATGAAAGCAAGCAAACAGTTGATAGCATAACTTACCGATACATTTATCACCGTCTAGCTGGAAACCTTTGTAACACGAACAGACTGGCCTGCCGTCGATTTCTTTGCAAATGTGGTCGCACGAAGCCTCGATGCACGCACCTTCAAAATTCGCTTTGATCTTGCACTTTGGTAGTTGTCCTATCCATTGACGATTTCTGCAAAGAAGTCTGGTCGTTTTGCTCACCATGTAATATCCAGGGGCACATTCGTAATCGGCTTCCAAGTATTCGTGACCTGGTATCGACGATCTTGAGAGAGGAACAGCAAATGCAAATATTTTTAGAAATTTGCAAAGATAATGTTATTTTATATAATGTCAATTTATTATTATAAATTTTAACGATTAGCGATAAATGTATCATGACATTTTAATATAATATACGGATATATCGGATATACAATTATATTAATATTTTCATATTATAAATATTATATAGAATTTTCATTAAATCTCTGCTATATTTTTGAAAAATATTAATATAATGTAATTATTAATAATTAATTGTTGATAAAATATAAACCCCAAAATGGCATGTCGCTTCTTTGCGACACTGTCATATCACTAGAAAAATGTTGCAGAGACATGTTATCAATTATGAAAATCTTACTCATTGAGCGTTTTATGATTTGGCTGGAATTACGTTGCTCTTCCTTTACTCAAACTTAAAACGGTGCTTAAAATTTGCATTTTAAAATTTCTGTATTAAAAGTGTAAGGGTCAGGTCAAATGATAAACCACCTCATCTTTGATGAACCTAGATAAACTGGTTTTCGTTTCTCGGATTTTCCCAAAAAGAGCGGGAGGGATACTTGAAAAGTTCGTAGCCGAGAAAGTAATGTATAAGAGAGGTTTTCTAGCAAACTTTTGTATGCATTTGGTTGCCCGTGGAAATTAATCCCCTGATTGGTTACTACGTTAACTTCAAAAGTTTACGCTGGTAGTAGACGTACAATAACTAATCAATATTTTCCAACATGGTGATATAGAGTTTCACGAAAGAGTTTATGATCCGTTATAAACTCGTAAGTCTATCAAATTTCAGTAGCATAATTGAAATTTAGCTTCCTCGTGTAACACGTGATACAGGTATACAGAATCATCGAGACGTTACGAAGTGAAATAAAAACTGAGGAAATTATATTTACACAAACGATGGAAAGAAATTCAGAATAAGTAATAAAATGATAAAATGAAAGCATGAAATCAAATAATAACGAAAGCATCTATATAACATTTATTCCAAAAAACAAAAAAGAAGCTATATTACGCGCTAGAAAACAGGTAGATTTAAATCCACGTGATATTCATTCTCACTTTGAACCCCGCCATTATTCTCCCAATGTCATTCCAAATATCTTTCCAAACTTTTGACATTCGCTTGCTCCTTTTGATTCAACATTCGCTCGAATCAAGATTTACTCGCCATTACAGTCACTTCCCTTGCTTCCACCATCTTTTTATATTTTACTGCGCTGTCAGGTAATTCCGGCACGTCGAACCATTGAGAAAAGTTCACAGCCCCCTACCCC